AAATGTTTTGAGAATGATGAGGGCAATGAATGTATAAATGTGCTTTATACAATTGATGTATGTATGGATTGTGATGAGTTGTATGAGCCCCTAATAAAATGATTAAAACAAAAAGAAAACTGCCTTAAATATCAAAATCATAAAGATTATAGGTACATAGGAAAATATATATATTTAATACAAATATAGAAACACTTTAAAAAGATTGCAAGGCCATATACAGACGTGAACAGCATCTACAAATTCTGGGATGTCTTTTTTAATAGGAGAAAAATCCTTTAAATATTAAAATATTGTTTGAAAGATAAAAACCAATTGTGTTACAGAAGAGATTAGGTATGTGTCAGGATAGTCCCTCCTCTACCCTGAGTTCTCCCAGAATTTAAACATGAGCCCTGACTCTTGGCATCTTAGAATATGCCCCCACTTCAAGAGGCATCACATGACATTCTCACCAAATGAAAATAATTCATTGTGCTGTGTTGTCGATCTTTTAAGTTTTATAATAAATGTTTTTAAAAGCTAATTCATGAGAAATTTCATCTCATCCATAAGGTCTTTAGAAGAAAGCAGAGAGAGTTAGGAAATCAGATGAAGCACAGGACAGCAAGAAATCAAGGCAAGAGTTGAAAACTTTGCTAGGGCAAGAGGGTGGGATGGGGGTGGGGGCGCTGAAAAAACACTCAGTGAGATTCAAAGCAGGATTTGGTTTTCAAAAGTATTTGGGGTACTGGCACCATCACCGAGGCCCTTAGAGGATCTCCTCTGCAAAAGTTGGGGCCAAAGATGCTGAGAGCCCCCTAAGGCAGGATCTGAACCAGGTGAGTTACATGCTTGGGGAAACGCGTAGCTGAAGCACTGACTAGGAAGTGCCAAGCGGGCAGGTTCCCATGGCAGGGCCAGGTCACCTGCCCTCACTCCAGTTTTGTTGGCCGGCAAATGATTTAATCAGCAGAGTCCGTTGCCAAGAAGCTATCTGTCACCAAGCCATCAGCCTAACTACAGATCAATGTACCACCACGAATGCACAGACCCAGTCCCTAGGCCAAGATCAAGGCTGACAGATGCTGTGGATGAATTCCTACAAGGGCCTCCCTCATCTCATCAGAATCATTTCACATGCCAAGTTCAATTTGTTGGTATTCCCCTTCCTCTATTTCTGTTAGCTGTTTGAAGTCCCTTCATATTTGCTTTATGAGACCTTTCGGGTTTGAATAGGCGGGCCTTAGTCACAAGGAAAGACCATAGGCTAAATATGACTGTAAGAGCTTGTGAGCCGTCATCCAAGTTGCAACTATTGGTCTCTTCCCTCTGGAGGAAAGAATGATGACAATCCAAAGGCATGGGAAACAATTAGTACAATGGGCTAATACATCATCCAAACATCAGTCTCTCTAACTCTGATGCCCAAAGAACTAGGTGGTGCTTGGCTAGCACTACCAACTGCTGGGAAAAGGATCGCATTAGAAGGTCCTAGATAGAGTGTGAAAAAAACCAAACCAAACAAAACATGGAACAAAACTCAGTCCTAAGAGACCAGGCTTACCGACAGAGACTGGTAGAAACCCCCAAGACGGTGACTCTTAGTTACCCATCAGGCCGTGTTAAAGTAATCCACCCTTTAAGATCCGCAGGGCAGCATTTACCCAAGGGTGAGGAAAGGACAATGGAAGCAGGAACACCTGGCGAGGTGGGCTAAGTGAGGCTACACCAAGGAGATGGCAATGGATGCATTTAAACATTTCTAAGAACAGGGGCAGTTCTACTCTGGCCTACAGGGTCGCTATGAGTCAGAATTGACTCGATGGCAGTGAGTTTGGAGAGGTTTTGGTTTTTTTTATTTTTTAAGTCTACATTCACCACAGGGAGGAAAACACACACACACACACACACACACACACAGATGTGAGGCAAGGATCTGAATACCTGGGGCATAGAAAAAGCCACAGTTCATCTTGTCCTTTACCTGCATCTTTCTGAACAATTGCCCCAGTCTCCCACACCAACCTACTGTCATAGATGAGGTTTCTCAGAGCTAGAGATGCTGAAGGCAGACAGTCCTCTTTATACCCAGGCACTACCGCCAACAAGCCACAACCACATCAAGAAATCACACTTCTAAAGGATCTCTGTGTGGGTAGAGGTGGAGAGTGACTAAAGATCACCCCCCACACACACACACTTCCCGCCTCTTGGCTGGATCCTCTGCACCCCGTGAGATCCATCGGTCCGATTCTGTCCCCACAGAGGGGAGCCAGAGAGCCTGTGATCACCTAGCTGCTGAGACACACCGGGCTTCGTATCAATTTCCTTCTTTGCAAGCATATTCCATCCCAATTGTGTCGTACTTACCTTTCAAAACTTTTTCCTTAGGAGGCTGTGATCAAACTGTGTTTGGGTTAGTTTTTTAGGCGGGGGTCGGGGAGTTGACATTTGAATTTTGCTCAAGGATATTTGAGTTGCTTAGTTCAGGCAGAGCAATTCCCTCAGCTCCCTCACACTCATGTTGTTCAGTGCTCCCGCCTGGCTGCCTCCTCGCAAGGGCACCTGTCCCTCCCTCGGTCCCTAACCCCTTCGCATGCCTCATCAACTCCCTTTGCTCCAGGATTTCTGTTGTATCCTCATCTCCTAAGGATCTTTCATTTGCATAAGACTGGGAATTAAAGGGTCATCTCTCAATCATCCATGACTATAAACCTGCTTGTGAATTGCCCACGACCAAGAAATGTGTTATTATGGGCTTCACAGGCTATTATAACAGAAATGATATATTAAAATATCATTGCATGCAATATACCAAAAACCCAAGCTCACAGCCATGAGGTTGATTCTGACTCGTAGTGACTCTGAGACTCTCAACTTTCTCCCAGAGCGGCTGGTGGTTTCAAACTGCTGGCCTTGTGATTAGCAGCCCAAGGTGTAGCCCACTACGCCACCGGGGCGCCTATGCATGCAGTATAAGTGACACAACAACAAAATCTTTTCCCATTAAGATCAAAGCTATGGAGGGACATTTTATTCCCTCCAAGTGCAGCCTCTACACTGGCAGCAAGATGTCATGTAGGACAGGAATGCAAATTCCTTGACCTCACCTTAACCTTACTGAATCAGAAACGACTGGGAGTAAGGCCAGGGAATCTGTTTTAACATGCTCTCTAGGGAATCTGAACCTTGTTGGAATGTGAAGCAATCAGCAACTATTTATTAGACAACTATACAAGAAAATAACTTAGATGCTATCAAATTGCATTTAGGGAAAAAAAACTTTAAATACACATTCTAAAAACCTGAATGTTTTACAATATTTCTTCCCAAAGGGACCCATTCTCCTTTTATATGGTGGGCAAGAGACAGACAACACCGAGCTGACAGCTGTTTGCTTCATGGCTTGCAGACAGGGGAGAAATGAGTGGATGTGAGCCTGTAACAGCCTCCAGGGCCTGTCCAGGTCAAAATGGCCTTCATTAGTTGGGGTCCTTAAGCCCTGGCAGACTCGGCTAGTTCAAGGATCTTTAAGGGCAGATCTCTTACAGGGAAACGTTTTCTGTAATGGGTCTGACAGCATACAAGGGCTGGGTAGCAACTAAGAGCTGTATTGTCTCTGCAGCAACCTTTCAACTCTGCCTTTTTATTGGAAACCACTCGTAATGAACAAGTGGTGTGGCTGTGTTCCAAGATTTACTTAATGGAAGGAGAGGACAAGCTGCATTTAGCCTGAAGGTCCTCAGTTTGCCAACCAGTCCTAGGGGAAATCACAGGCTTAGAGTTGCACCTGATAGGAGAAACTAGAGGCTACTCTACATAAAAAGTTAGCAGTCTGAGGTAGCCCTCTGGTCCAGACACCTCCTTATGGCCTCCGGAGCCCTGAATGGCTGCCCAAGGGTGAGGCCAGGTATGGCCAACACACTTTCTGCATTCTCTCCTCACAGTAAGCTTGAGCTGCAGAGTGGGGACTAGAGGCAGAAAGCACTGGGACCGAATCCACCAAGCAAAAGCCGTTCAGAAAACCTCACATTCACCTCTCCTCAGAGAGATCAAACGGGTACTTTACAGGCCCATGTGCTCAGATTTTATGAAGTCAAAAGTCGCAAACGTCAGCCATTAATGGGTCTATTTTGATTCAAAAGCATCACTGCTGCATCAAAGAAAATCACTTCAAAACCAGACTGCACAGTTGTGTGCAGTATAAGGAAAAATGCGCTGAGGCTGTGACTTTAAAGCTTCACATTGGATCTAACATGTTGCATTTTTTCCAAATGTCACTACTTGCCAAACAGAAACGAAGGCGTCTTTCTACTCTTAAGTCAAGACCCTTATAACTCCAATGACTCTGTGACAATCTTGTTGTGGGATGCTAACCTGGTCCCAGTTCACTTTTCCCCCAAAGAAATTAGCACTCCTAACCCATTCCTTTGATTTTTCCAAAACAACAGAGAATTAAGACACACACGTACTTTTAATGTTCTCTGTGAAATACAAAACATTTCACGAAGGGAAAAAACCAGGAGTCTTATTTCAACAATCTCATTTGCCATTTTTTTGTTTCTTATTGGGAAGCTGCAAGATGTCCTTGAATAAGGTCCTGAACCCGGGACAGGATGATCTCATTAGAACTGATGCAGTTTTCTGGGCCGTACGGGGGCTCTATAGTCAGGACCTGAGCCACACAGATGGTCTGCGATTCTCCCTGTTCAGTCACGGGGATGTGGTTCTTCTCCAGCCACCTCTTTAAGCTGCTTTTTCTCTTTGCCAGATCCTCAGAGCTGTGCACTTGACAGTCTCCAGACGTGAACAAATGCATCAGCTTCTCTCTCACGCTGTGGTCGCCATCACTCAAAGTTTCAACAGTCTGGATAGCATGTCCCATAACCCCGGTCACAGAGAGGCTGCTGTCTTCCAGGAAATTCACAAGGACAATGCTTTGGAGGAAAAGTAAAGTCAGAGCAGATTCAAACAGTAACAACAAAAATAACTTAAAGGCCCATAAAACTATGAATTTTAATATTTATAATAGTTCTCGATTGTGTTAATGAATCACAACTTAAGACTATTGTCCCCAGTACACCTTCATTGCTACTGTCAAAGAGTCCAGTGCCTGAGCAGTATCATCCACCCCAACAGGAAACTTAATGGTGCCTCAAATAAAAGGGAATGCACTTTCTGTCGACAATGAATCCGTTCACAAATTCATTCATGTGTGCAACAAGTATTCACTGAGTGTCTTGAACACCTAAGCTTTTCACAGGCTAGAGTTAATCATGTGGAGTGCAGTTAAAAGTGTGTGCCTTAAGTGTGTATATTAGAAAAGAAAGCAGACTGCAAGATTAATCTGTAGAGTTAAAAACACCACAAACTCCCCCTTCCCCAAAGAAGCCTGGAGAACAAGGTGTAAAGTAATGGCATAGATGCTTTAGGCTGCTAACTGCAAGGTCAATAGTTTGAAACTACCTGTCCCTCCATAGGAGAAATATGAGGCTTCCTGCTCCTGTAAGACTCACAGCTCCAGAAACCAACAGGGCCAGTTCTACCCTGCCATGCAGGGTTGCGATGACTCAGAATTGACTTCTGGCAGTGAGATTTTTTGGGAATGAAAATAATGAAATATAAAAAGGCAATATAGATTGGGGAAAAAAAAAACTTTTTTTAAATTATCAAAGCCAAAACTTTGTTCTTTCAGAAAACACATCCAAGGGACTTTCAAACAGTTGATGAAAAAATGGGATTAAAAGATAATGGAGTTTCTCCACAACCTTTTTGAAGCTCTCCTCATTTAAATTCACAAAATTCAGACAAAAGTAATTAAAAATGCAGAAAGAGGAAGGAAGATTCAGAGGGAGAGGGGGAAAGAAGCATGTTAGGGATAAGGCAGCAGAAATAAAAATTAGAAAATATGGAGAACATATTTATTCCAATTATTTTGAAAACTTGAACAAAATTTTTAACTTTCTAGAAAATTCCACTAATTTCTAAAAAGAAAATGTAAAAAGAAAAAAACTAAAGAAAATAAGAAAATGTAAAATCCCTACAATCTTAAAGTAAAATAAGCTATTTAAAATCTTCTCATAAGGAGAGGAAAAAGGTCCAATGAATTTTACTGTCAAGTTTTATAAAAATTCCAAGGACCAAATACTTACAATTTGATCAAATTCTACTTGAGAATAGGGAAGAAAAACTATAGCTTTAACTCATAGAATGAAGCTGCTATAACTCTGACATGCAAAACAGGATGAAAAAAGAAAATGAGTTAATCTCATTCCTGAATATAAATGACAAGCTCCTAAGTAAAATATAGTATAATGCAATATGTTAAGAAGGGAATTCACTTCTGCAATACTCTTCCCAAGGACCCCCAGTGATACAGTGACTTACATGTTGGGCTGCTAATCACACGTCAGCAGCTCCAAACACCCGTCAAGAACGAAGTCTCAGGAAGCCACAGGAGCTGCTCTACTCTCTGTAGGGTCACTTCATCAGAACCAACTCTATGGCAGTGTCAAGTGCTCTTCCCCCGAACCAATACTCTCATGAGAAGATATCACAGAAACCCAGGTTGAGGGACAGCCTATAAAACAGCTGACCAAAATGTCCAAACTCACTGCCATGGAGTGGATGCCAACTCATAGTGGCTCTGTAGGACAGGGTAGAACTGCCCCTGTGATTTTCCAAGACTGTAATTCTTGGAGT